TTGGCATCTGCAATTAGGCTTCAAGCTTGGTGGACTGAATGTTAATTTTTGGCGCAGCAATACTGCAGCGGCATAGCGCTCGAGCTGTGTACTTTACCCTTATCTATTCGAACTCTTGTTTGCCTTGACTCATGCCACAAAACAGGACTATTTTCTAATACCAAATAAATTCATATTTAGACTTGGCCAATTGCGGCAATAGCTGCGCCTTAAAATAAATTAAATATGGAAAATTAATTTCTGTTCAACTGCCTCAGCGAAAGGCAAAGATTTGTGCTTGCAGACACAGAAGTTCCATTAATATGACTGACTTTATCATATTTGCTGACGATATTGAGTCCAAATATTTAAGTCTTTTTTCTTTTGATGTAAATAAACAAACATACAGTATCAAAGGTAGCATGGGGTTATTGAAAAGCTCAATGAATATTTTGTAATAAGCAGAGCTGCCAACAACAAGCCAATAAGGCAGTACCCGTAGGTAGAGAGCAGGTATCGAGCGCTTTGACATCTACGCATGCTGCAAGTGCCTTTTGCATTTTCAGCTTCCCCACAAACTGTTGCATGCTGCGCATGCAATGAGGAAAAACAGAATTTTGATGAACTTCCGAATACGTTTGACAACTGTCGAGAGGCATCTGCGTGTGTGTCTATAAACTCCCCAACTACATGTATTGAACGGAAATCAGTTTACAGTTCCTCCTGGCCACCGTTGATGAGCGATAAGCCATCCATGCTGCGCCGTTTTTCATTTAATATGCAAAATTGTTTTTCCGCCAGCTCGAATACACGAATACACATGTCGGTTCACGTACTGCGAGCTCGGCGTGAATACACGACAACGGACAATGGAGCAGTGAGACTTGCTCACCTGTCTTTCTCTCTCCATTTGACATGAGCTGTTTGGCTATTCCATGCCTAGGCATTTCAGAGTCAGTTGCGCTTTGGATTCACCGACAACGCTAATCAAGTCGGCAACAAAAGCAGCTACTATGCTGCAAGCGACAGTAACCAAATATCCCTCTTGTTTATCCTCGGCCACTATGCGCTGCCATCTATTGAAATTGCTCGAGGCCATTTGGCATTTGCTGGCATGCGGCGCTCACTATTTGCATGTCAGAATCTGAGCTTAGACTGAAATACAAACTTGACTTGATAATAATAAACAGCTGGCTTACTTTGAGTATGGGTATGCTCAGATATGTCTATGCCTCTTTGCTAGCTCTGTCTCTACTAAAGTTTACTCAGTATTTAAGCTAGAGTTTCCACAACTGCAAAATAAGGCTTGGATGCTCAACATATTTCTTAAGACTATATTACTCTACTGTGAAATAAAATGAGAATTATAGATTTCTTATGTAAATGTTTGAATAAACTTCTAATGAATTCTCACTTTATATTTAAGCCAAAGCAGCTCCAGCTGACAATAACCCTAAAAATAGTTGCGCTGAAATTTACTCTGCAAATAACTTTTTATTGCAGAAAAAATGGTATGATGGTGTGTGTGTATGTGTGTGTGTACCTGTCGCTTGCTGTAGTTGAATGCTTCAGCTTAATTGGAAATGTATGCCCTGTTGAATTCGCATACAAGCCGAGTGCATAAATATTATTGAAAGCAAGCCGAGTCATTGAGTTGAGCCGTGTCGGGGCACTTGACACTTACACCACACACACACACACACTCTCTCCTCGTCACACACACCTGAAAAAGCCAATTTATGATGATCATCATGATTACCATCATCATCCCCGTCAATAACAACAAGAACAAGAACAACACCTAGATCATTGACTCATTCACATCGCGCTGACTGGGCAAATACTTTGACGTCGCGATTTTCTTGCTAATCAAAATTGTGTGCAAAAAATAGAGGATGACGAAAAAAAAACCTGAAGCCGAAAATAAATTTGAAATGGAAAAATGGCAGTCATGTGATGTGCTATGCAGAGTCGAACTCGTAGACGTTGGTGGCTCTAATTGCCATGGCAGCTCGTTAGCTTGAAGTGCCGACCCTGGCAGGGTCGGACTGGGTCGCCGTTTGGCTAATGGCTAATGCCATTGGCCGCAGGTGAAACGTCCACTTGTCGACGCATCAAAGCCGAAGCACAAAATTGGCTGTTCAGGTAAACAAGACGCAGAATTATTAAATGAACCGCAAAACTGTTCAGCTAACCAAGCAGCTGCAGTCGGGTGGAGTCGAGTCAAGTCGAGTGAAGGGCCGTCCACTTTTGGTCGAGATGAATATCTAAATATGGGCATTGAATATGATATCGCTGCCAACTGGAAAGGCACACAAATTGCTGGCCACATTCATGAAAAGTTTAAAGCCCAACGCACATTAGACTCGATTTTTATCTTTCACTCTTCCATCTATTTGCTTCGCTTCGTTTCTATGCTAATTCTCACTTAAGGCACAACTTTCCATTGCCAGCATTTTTATTATGTCATACAAAGCGCGTCCAGCCGCAGCATAATAGTGTATGTATATATATTTATATATATCTATATATATATATATATATATATATATATATATATATATATATATATATTTATATATATATAGTCCTGCTTTCTTTTCCAGCCAATAAAAAGTTTGCCTAGCAAAAAAAGCGTTGCCTTGTTGCGAGCTGGTGGCAACAGTAGGAAATCATTTTGGAGCACTAAAGTACATTGCATTCCCTGCATTAGTCAGAGTTAAATATAGACTAATACTACTTATTTATATCAAAAGATATCTTCTTAAAACAAATAGAATAGAGATTTTAATAAAAGCGTAAAATATTTATATGTGAGCTGCGTAAGCTAACATAATCATTTGGAAAAGGGTATTAGATGAAAGCCCACAGCCTTATATTTAGTTTTGTGAGACACTCTCAATATGCCCTGCGGCGCCTTTGCCCTTCGCTCTCGAACGCCACAGTCTCTGCTAGGAGCAGCTCCCGTTCCTGCGCCTGCTTGGCAATCGTCGCAATTTGTATTATGCGCCTCAGCGCCTTTGCACTTAATGCCTTATTTGTATTTAATCGAGGCTTCCGTTTTATTGGCATCCGCCTCAGCCCCGCTGCTAGCGAATTTGCTGCTCAGCTCGCAGTTATATTCAATGAAGTTCGAGCAGCGCTGCCAACAGACTGCTCGCAGACTCAGCTAGAAATACATTCACAGATAAATGAAAATGACACAATTTCCCGCTGCTGCTGTCGCTTTTGGGGTCTGCGGCTCTGCTGATTGCTGTCCCGTTGTGCGCTACACTTGAGCGGCATTTGAATAGCCAAGTAAGCAGGCCAAAGGTCGAAATGCGCATGGGAAAACTGTAGCGTATTCGATTTGTCCGTCAGGACCGAACAGGTTAGCCAACGCCTCGAGGCATGTGAGCCACATTTTGTGTCTTACGTATGACTTACGAAATTATTATGTGCGATAATGCCAAGGAAACGAAGCTTGGGCCGGTTGGTTGCGATACCCATCTGCTGGGCAGTTTAAAGTTTTCGCATTTGTCGTGCGGCACCTACATAGGCTGTGCCACATGGCACGGAAATTGCGGCAGACAAAGGGCAATAGCAACAGAAACTGAAACATAAACAGAAACAAAAACAAACAGAGACGTTAGCCAGGAATGTGGTGTTATGGTCGGAACGGAAATACAAAGAAGCCCGGCCAGACGAGCCGCCTTGCGGTATGCAATAAAAAAACAAATGTAACGCAAAATGTTATTACGCATACGCCATGTGCGCTTGTGTCTATATGTGTGCGTGGGTGTCGCAAACTTAATGTCTGTCTTCCAGTCCTGCTTTCTGCTTGCTTCATCCTCGCACACACTGCCATTGGCACGCGGACCACCCTCGCCTTTTAAAATGCCATTGTTTGCAGCTGCGCTTGACTGCCCCCGTTACCCGCTCCCCGCCCCCGCACTGACCTTATGATCAACTGCTTTGGCAGCCGTTAAAGCTGCTTGGCCTCGTTCTTGTGTGTTTCGTTCTACAAAATGTCAAGCCCTTAAATCCCAGTAGATTTAACTTGCGCTACTATAAATACATTGACCGAACTGATAGCCATAATGAGGCGCTGGCTACATTAATATTTCATTTAGAAACCAGATAAAAAGTTCAGCGCCATTGGCATTCACTATAAATATTAGTTTGACTCTGTTCGGCTATTATTTTAGTTTTAATGAACGGCTCAAAATGGAAATTAAAATTATGTATTTCTTACATCATTTCTAGACAATTGTTAAAACGAAAAATTTCCAAATAAATATGCAATAAAAAGCAGATGGAAAAAGTTATCCACAGGAAAATGTATTTTGCGTATAAGTACAATAATCAAATTTTATGACAGAGCAATGAACATTTTTAATTTTGTTGAGTAGCAGCATTAGATATAACTATTTTATCTGAAATCGATAAATCGATGAGCTTTTAGTGAAGAGCGAGAAGTCAATAGCAATGCTGACTGAATGTGGCTTGATACTAGATCAAAACATTTGAACTCTCTGTTCTTAGAGCATAGTCTAGCCACTAGTCTCTTTAGTTTATTCCTCAATAGAAAAAAACTTTTTATAAAAATAAAGTGAGGAGAAGTGAAGTTGACTTTGGTTAACGTTGATTGTTCGCTTTCAGCTAGTAGCTTCTACTTGGCGCTGTTTGATATTCAAATGAGCTGGGCTCACTTGCCGCACTTAAATCAGTCTCTCCTTTATCTTTGTTTAATTCAGCTCAACGTCAACAGCTCTCGCTTCTTGCAACTGCATATTATTATAGGTATAAGGATAGGTGTCTTATTGAATATGCTCTAACTACTTGAGCCGATACCACGAAGGTCTTTAGTCAAACCAAAAGTAAAGCAAAACGTAAAGTTAAGTATTACTGAATCATAGGGAACTAAAGCAATCCGTGCAGTCCTTTGCTTTACAACCCGCTTATCAAATTTGTATTTGCCTTGGACTGTGAACTGATTACATAAAATATAACAAATAAAATTCATTCATTCTATTTTGCAGATGCTGCCAACTCAACGTTTACGTCTGGGAACTACGTCTACTTTATTGAATATAATATAAAATAACCTTTAATTCTCAACTGAGCTATGTGGTCAGATGAGTTCAACAAATGCATTTAATTCGTCAATTATAATTAAAATGTTTCTATATGAATTTTGTTCTCTTCTGCTTTACTGGGCTCTGCCAATTTGTATGACTAATGCCGGTCAAGGTCTCGGAATCAAATATTTGAATAGTTGGCATATCCACTCGGAAACATTTAACCCAACCGTTGCCACTGCCGTTTGTTTAGGGGCTATCAATCACGTATTGTGCCTAGCGAACCGGCAAATTTCCAGCAAATTTCTACTTCTGGACCAACTCAGAACATACATAAAAACTTGCTGCTTAATAAATCACCAAAGGAAATGACGACAGCAACTGTCTGTCGATTCAGACCGTAGCTTCAATTCAAAACGAGTCTGCGGCCAGCAACTGCTTGAATACAGAAATACCTCTTTCAAGTCTATTGAAGCAGCGGAGTATATTAGAAACTAAGCACTTCAAATCTATAAAGTATCCATGACTGCTTACATTTTGAGTATATTAATTTGCGTGATCAAAGGTGAGGCACTTAAGGATGATGTCACGGGGGCAATATGAATGAACTTTTGAAACTATTTAAAGATCTTGACATATGATTACTTTTCAGGTGAATATCAATCACTTTCTTAATGAATATTAATTACTTCTTAACTTAAAGTTTATGCTAATACAAATTTACTAATTTCCATGAAAACGAACAATTCAAGCGTCTTCAAATTTACTTTAAAATTAGGGAAATACCAATTGGCCTACTTGCCACAAGCTAATACCCCCTTTAAACCTTAGGAGTGCGAGAGACTGCTTTGTTTTTGGTGTTTTTGGCGTTTTTGGCTACCCCAACAACACTTGGAGTCAAGAGCACATTTCAGTCGACTTACGTTGGCTGTTGCTCATATTGCAAAGTGGTTTTAGGTAACAAGACGTCTGCTACAGAATTGAGTTGACCAGGCATGGGCACACTGACACACACTCACATAGACCCTCTTGGCATTAGCACCATTAATTTTGTAGGCTGTTCCGTGCCACCCATTTCTCCTTTGCAGAGTGTCGAATGGCTCTGGGTGTTTGTTTTGTTTTTGTCTCTCACTTGCTGGCAACAGACGATGGGAGAAATGGCTAAGTAAAAGCGTTTCAGTTGCAAGCAGCAGATAGTGGTCTGGCGGGACACATTTATGAAGCAAGTGCCACATCAAGTTGCAGCCGCAACAGATTTCAACTTTTTATCTGAATCTGACTTCAGTAACAAGCTAAAGCCACAGACAGATATTTCAGCACAAAGTGGTTTAGTTGCTGGGCTCGAGCCTGAGCTGCTTTTAATTTATATGACCAAAAAAATGTGTGTTTACACACACACGCACACGGACGTAGCCATAAATTTTCTTGCCTTTTCACAGAGTTGTCATTTGCTGTGAGTTGATGTGGCGTATACGTAATGCTACCTGAAGGCGTAGGCTCAACCAGTATGCCCGAAAAGCTGCCATAGCTAACTGTGAGTGGCATCCCATTGTAAGTTACAAACAGGAATGATACATAATTTCAAGCTTCTAAGCCTAGTAGAGCAACTTTTATATAATAAACCAATAAGAGACAATAATTTCGGGCAGGGGCAGCCGAACAACTGGATAACTGAATTGCGCGTGGCAAACAACAATGCACAAACACAAAAGCAAAAGCATTCTCATACACATAATTTCTCATTGAGCTGATGCGAATGTAATCCCCATGTTGGACTAAGTGGAGCACTGGCTAAACACAAGGACCACTTTCACTCGGTTGGCCAGCAGACACAATAACAGCGCAAAGAATGTGCTCCGCTCCGTGCCATGGTCGGCACTGTGTGGTTTGTATTGTGTCCATGTCTCCGGAAGCGCATTGTCAGCTCCATTAATGTTGATTATACGTTAATGTAAAGGATCTCCAACTGGTAGTCGCAACGCGCCATCGGGGCGAAAAGGGGGAAATGTGTTTCGGCGGCGACGGCGGCGGCGGTGACCGCAATGCAATTTTCCAGTGCTTTGCAACGACGGGACTTAAAGTATCGGCGAAAAGCGAAAAGTTTTGTGCAAAGTTTTAATTTGCATTTCAGATGTACCGGCCAGGTGGTCGGGCTGCGTAGTCGGAACCCCAGGGATAATTATAATGCCATTAGCGTGTTTAGTTCACAATCAGGCTTAACTGGTAAAGCCCGAGCCACTAGCCCCTCACAAATTGGCTGCTGCGTGCTTATCCAGCTGGTCTAAGCTGCTTCACTGATTTTTTTCTTCCTTTTATCAGTTTTACGAGCAACGTCTCTTGCCATGCAAATTCAAATGGAATGCTAAATGTTTATTTACGCAGCAAAAGCTGTCAAGTGACTGGGCGTGGCACTGGCCTCAACTATTTTGTCGCATTTTGCATATTGCAAATTGCCGAGCGGAGCTGCCAGGCAACAATTTCGCTGCTCCACTGCAAAGCAATTTCAGCCCAGTGGAGTATGCCATTTTCTCCGAGTTGCTGTTGGCTGATTCCTTAAGGTCAATTTAAGGACATTGCAGAAGACTGCACTGCTGCTCTATGCTGTTTTAAATAGAGCAAAGAGATTTAGAGAGCAATGGAAATAACTCACAGAATCATTTCGACATAAATCTGAATCTGAATTAGAAGTCTATGAAAGTGACTCTAATGCTAACGAAAACTCGAAGGATTTTCTAGTTATATAATTATATATGTTTGACTGAATGAATCGAAAATGTAAGACTTAAATAAAGACTTAAACTCATATTTCTTGAGCGAAATTTAAGTCACAGCCTGTGCCAAGAAATAACAAATAAATGTGTTAGTTGCTTGTGAGAAATGCGACCTTTGCTTGAAGCTCAAGGATACTTGTTTATTGCACTTCATGCCAAGAACAAACTCTGACTGCCGTCTGAGCTCAGAGTTGGCAGAGAGACAAACTTAATAATTCGCTCGCCACGCACCAGAAATCTTCCAGTCGATTTGCACTCGTATCTCTGTCGTTGCCAAATTTCGTGGCCAAAGCCTCAGCTTACCTGCCAATCCGGATTGGGTGTGGAAGCAGCATTTGCCATAACGCATCACTAAACGGGCTGAACAAAAATAAATTTCCCAAGATGCAAATGAAACTGGCTGCTGCTATATGAGTGAGTTTTTCTCTTTTATTATTATTTTTTTTTTTTTTTAGTGTTATTATTTTCTTACCCCTCGCTTGCACACTGTTAAAATTAGCAAGTGATGCGGCAGCCGACGACGAACTGTTGATTCAACTCGGCGCTGTAAGCTCAGCGATGATAGAGTCTCAATATAACCAGCGCCACCTTATCATTGGAGCATTTCACAGAAAAGCCACATGGCTAGCGGGTTACCTCGTTGGCAGTTCGTTTGTCTGGCTGGTTTTGGAGCTGGTTTTGGTTCAGGTTTTGGCCCATTGGCTGCCAACGCCTGTGCCAGTGGCTGGGTCTGATCTGGCAGAGACGTTGCCGCACATGGATTCATTCAACTTTACGCTAATATCACATGCTTTGATTACAGCAGCGTGAAATTTTATTGATTGGCCAGCTAACGTCGCTTCAATGATGAGCCAGGCCGTTAGGTGTATAAGGACAAGCCGCTGGCTGTTCGTGTATTGATAACGATGCTCTCTGCAGTTGTCTAGGCTAAGCTGAAAGATGTTCTATAGCAAAATCGAATCATCTCTGAGTAGAGTAAAACTATTCTTTAAGCTTTCGATATATTTTAAAACTTCTATTGAATTAACTCATTTTAAGATATTTGATTCGTAAATTTATTGCATTATATATTATAACAAGCCAACGCTAACTATGCTTTCCAGTATAAAATAAAGTTTGATATTATGAGAAAGGGGAATTTAAGAATTTTTAGTTATTTAAATAATAAGCCATAAATAAAAATGCAATGATAATACTTATAGTTTATGTACGAGGTATCAGTGATATACACGTTTAATTAAAAATATATAAACAAACATTTTAAAAAAATTTTTTGATGTACATATGCTGCCAACATATCGATCAAACTCTGTGCGCATCATCTGAGCATTAACTGTGCAAAACATCCAAGCATTCAATTTCACTCACAATGTCCTTCACACTGAATGCATATGTGTATTGAGTGTAAGTATGCATGTATGTGTGTGTGTGTGTGTGTGTGCTTGTGACAGGAGTTGCCGCCTTCGCGACCATATTAACTGCCGCTGCTGGCGTTTGGGGAAGTGGGCCACTGGCACTGGCTACCGGCCTTTTGCTACGGGCACTGTGTGAGTAGTTTTATCCATGGAGCCCCCGTCTGACAGTTCCAGATTTTTTGTGTTTTGTGCTTCTTCTTCCTTGAATGCTGTTCCATAGTCTGATTGCTTACAATGTGCGCTCTCATTTCTGCCGTTGTCCTTGCTCGTCCTCGATTTCTTTTAAAAAATACGAAAATCCCTCGCAAAAGCAGAAAAATGCCGTTGTCGCTTAAATTCAATTGAAATCGCTTCAGCTTCAATGGCAGACGAACGACAGGCAATCTGTCGAGTCTCTCTGATTGAATAAAGCGCGAATGCGCGAAATACGGCTTGCTGGATAAATGCTGAGACGCACCATGATTGAACGCTGCCATGCGATACGAGCGCGATACGCACACAATATGCCTTAAACATAATGATAATTTCATATGAATTAAAGAACGCATAAGTCCTGCAAATGATTGCCAGTTAGCAGCGTTATCCTGATCAATAAAATATATACTTGTATTACTATTATTATTATTATATTATATAATTATTAATATATCATGTATTATCATATTAGCCATTCATTATATGCATTATATAGCTTTGGTCTGGCAAGACTCTACATAATTTACAACGCAAAAAGAAACACACAAAATTACTTTTAACTACCTGAAAACATAAATACATGGCTGTATAGCTATAAAATGTATTGTCACATGTAAATGTCCCTCTGAACATACATAAATTCATTATTATATACTTGAAAATATTTATTTACCTTATGTTTTTTTATAATTATATTATATATCCATAAATAACAAGTGTTTGCAAACCAAGATCTAACTATTAACACTTAAGTCCAGGAAAAATTCCTTTTATCTAAATATATATGAGATATCACTGAGTGTTGCATATATACATACATAGTCAATAACTATTATCAGTTCAAGATTTTGTTTATTTGAAACGATCTAAATCGTGTTAAATGTCAGGGTACAAAGTAGGTAAGTAAATTGAATAAATAAACTTGCCCTAACGTTTTACAGCATATTGAAATATATATGTATGTATAGAAAATATTAAAGCACGTTTAATTAGCAATAAGCTGCATAGAATACCAAAAATATCACAATTCCCAATCAGTATCTACATATTTAGATTACATTGTTGATTAGACCAATTATGATAACAATTTGGCAAACATTTTTATGGCGCGGGTCGATATGCCGGTAATGACTGCCTGAACAACGCGACAACAAAGCAGATAAAGTACAGATGTGCTTATATCTGTGTATTCGCATGCAAGTAACATACGATATAAACAAGGGAAATTACGAATATGCCTTCATATATATACAGATGTGTTGTTAATTATGACGGTGTGTGTATCTAAATTAGTTACATTCTCTTTGACTTAAGTCGTACGGCAGAATGATTGAACAAATAGCACAGCTGTTCAGTGTTTAACAACACCGTCTTGACCAAAGAGAGAGAGAGAGAGAGCGAGAGAGAGAGGGAAAGAGTGCTTGAAAAGAGCTAGCCACAGAGAGACAAAAACGACCAGCAGGGCTGTCATCTGCTTCGACACACACTTTGTGGTGTTACCTTCAATGCCTGAGAATAATTTTTAAGACATGTTTACAAATGTTAGATAAAAAAATGTATCTAAAAGTTTTACTCAATGTATTTAAATAATTAAAAAGTATTTTTATTATATGCAAAATTTACCAGCAATTTTCCGTCGACTGTGCAAGCTGTCGACAACCCTTTTTTCTCTCGCGCCGTCGCTGTACACGTCATCAGCTGAGCAGCAACGGCATAAAATGCAATTTATTATTGTTGTACAGTGGTTTTGCTCTCCATTGCAATTGCGACACTTTAATTTGTGTAGATTCTGTCGCACAACAAACTGCAATTTGGGGCAGGCAATAGTGCAACACGTGAACTAATTGTGAAGCCAAAAATAGAAGCGTTCTGTGACGACACACACTCGCCCGTGACATTGATTCACATTCACAAAGAGCCAAAGAGAAAGCAGCTGTTAGCTGTTGGCTGTGGGCTGTTGGTTGGAAAAAAACGGTCTGTGAGCAAAAGCAAAAATAAAACGAGGAAGTGTCTGAATGTATGTAGCCACCCGCCGCCAGTATCAGCTGCTCGCTCTGGTCGTACGCAAAATTTATTATTAATTTAGCTAAGGCAGGCATTTGCACAAAGTTAAATATTTTCGCACATTCCCAACAATAACATCGACAAGAACGGAGCTAAATTGCAAAAGCTTGGTGAGTGCAGCGATAGCAACGAACGCAACTGGAAACTGTAAGCTGGAATTGAGAGCATAGCAATAGAGGGCAGAGTGCATTTAATCAAATCATTTTGTGTTGTGTAATCAGAAAGTGAACGGAAAATTCGCTGCCAAAATGTCTGATAAAGAGTCCAGCAAAAAGGTGACACCCCCAAAGGGTATGAAATATCTGATTGGAGGTGCTAGTGGAATGGGAGCCACTATGTGCGTGCAGCCACTGGATCTTGTCAAGAACAGAATGCAAATTTCCGGAGCGGGTAGCGGAAAAAAGGAATTCCGCAATTCCTTCCACTGCATTCAAATGGTGATCAGCCGTGAAGGACCCCTTGCCCTATACCAGGGTATTTCAGCGGCGTTGCTTAGGCAAGCGACTTACACCACTGGGCGCCTAGGTGTGTACACTTACCTCAATGAGGAATATCGGTCTCGCTTCAGCCGCGATCCCAACGTGGTAGCGAGCATGGTCATGGGAATTATAGCCGGCGCAGCAGGTGCGTTCATTGGCACACCGGCAGAAGTGGCTCTTATTCGTATGACCTCCGATGGACGCTTGCCGCCGGAAGAGCGACGTAACTATAAGAATGTGGGCAATGCACTGGCCCGTATTACGCGCGAAGAGGGATTGACCGCGTTGTGGCGCGGCTGTTTGCCCACAGTTGGTCGCGCCATGGTGGTTAATATGACCCAATTGGCTAGCTACTCTCAATTCAAGACCTACTTCCGAACGGGGCCACTCCAAATGGAAGAAGGCATCAAATTGCACTTCTTTGCCAGCATGCTTAGCGGCCTGCTAACCACGATAACATCCATGCCGCTGGATATTGCCAAGACTCGCATCCAAAACATGAAGGTTGTCGACGGAAAACAAGAATATAAGGGCACAACAGATGTTCTGCTCCGGGTGGCACGCCACGAGGGAATCTTTTCGCTGTGGAAGGGCTTCACGCCCTACTACTTCCGCCTGGGCCCGCACACTGTGCTTACCTTCATACTGATGGAGCAGATGAATACCGCCTTCAACAAGTACGTCCTTGGCGGGGAGAAACGTGGATCCTCAATATAAGAAGAGTCGTCTAATTGTAGCGGGCTAAGTGATGTCGTTAAAGGTTTCCCGCAAATCCTTTCACTACTAGCCAATACGTTCGAAGGCTTAGCTGCATATTCCAAGCAACTCCCCAAACGATGATGGGCAGTAAACACGATGATCACAGCAAATATATGGATCTATATACACCCATATATATCTGTTAAACGACAATATAATATAAGTGGGGCATTTAAATGTCGGAAATTCCGTTGACAATATAAAATATTTAATGATTGTTGTTAAATCTTTTCTATACAAATATTTATGTAAATCGTAATATAGAGCCCTAAGTAAAAAGTCTCTTCTGAATAAAGCACAATAATAGAAGCATTATATTCCCCAATCTAGCAACTCGTATTACTTGATTGGTGCTCAACTGCCAGCACGAACTGCCTGCGTGCTATCAATGTCAACAGACTCCTCGTCGAAGCTAACAGTACTGCATATTAAATATCTTGTCTCACCTGAAAACATATGCCATCCCACCCACATATGCTGCTCTTAAATAACACAAATCATATGGTTAGTGGCTAATTCCGTCAACATGCGTTATCACCAGCCATGTTACCTAATGGTACAGTGCTCAAAATATTGAAGTTCTGGCATACCAAGTGGCAGATTTCCCTTCACATCGTTGGCATTTGCTTTCATTGATAACGGTAGAGATAAGCCCAGTCAAGAGGGCAACTAGACCGTGCGTAAGGTTAGTTCCAGATAGTCGAAAAAGCAAACAGGTATGAATACTCTGCTTGATATTTCTTTTCTTTTGATTTAGCTGAGGCATTACGGCAATTCTCTGAATCAACATATCAAGTGGACCTTTAATATAACAATTCTTTTCATTATTAATTTGATATGATTTTGATTGAATATGATTTTTTCATTTGAATTTGAAATAATATTTATTACACGCAAGCCATAAAGATTTTTGGATATTTTACTTGAGTAACATTTGATTCGCCATATGAACTAAGCTTTAATTTTCCATAAATTTCATACTCAAACTTCTATTGCTGCAAGTTCACACATCAGAAAGCATATCAGATGGCACTACTTGAAGATGACAGTGTCATATAAACTCCTATTTCGTATACACTCAAATATATTGTTTATTTTAGTGTTAGTTTAGCTCGAATAGTATAGCGTATGCGTACTATACTAGAGACTATACTCTTCAATATGACAATATATATTATGATGTTAAAGAGTAGACAACAGTCTCGTATGCTTTTATTTTTTTTTAGACTTGTTAACTGAGGCGTTACGATTTTTAAGATGTGGCAATGAGAAAATAAAACAAAACTGAAAATAAAAGAAAAAGAAGCTATCGTTGGCCACAAGCAAACATCGCATTTTATATTCAGTTTATTGGTCTGTGAGGCTGCAGGGGGCAGCGACTTGGCTTGGGCTGTTCCTGCTACCAAATACTATTTGCGTAATAAAATCTTTGGCTTTCGGGAGTGAGCGTGCCTCGGCCACAACCTCTTCAGCTATAACAAATCAAAAGTTTATCTCATAAATAAATGAATATAAAAAGCTTATGACTAGCGGGCACACTGAAGCGAGCTGCTCGTTTCATTAAACGCTTGCTTCTTGTTGCAACAGCCAGTTTGGGTTGGCTCCCACTTTAAATTCACAAGATGTTATCCTGGCGACCAAATTTAAGTTCAGCTACGCTGGGGCCCAATTAAACTCTTTTTCAAACTGCTCTTTCGCTTAAGCCTGAGGGTTGAGGGTTGAGTTTTCTAATTTAAAATTATCTTCGATAATATTCTTTACATTTAAGTAGAATATATTGAGCACTTCCCACAGTCTTTCCTGACATTGATTTTTATTTCTTTGTAATTTGTGTTCTTTAATAAAAACTTCACCAAGAGACTAACACTCAGCGGAATTGCGTTTAGCTTCACTTGAATCTATGTAATTATAATTTGGTTAACACACCAATCTCATAAACTCACACTCATTGCTTAAAAACTTAGATTTTGACGCAGAAGCTTATCATCATTAACGCATGAGGAAACCTGCAGCATTTGCCATGAAGCTAAAAAGTTGTTGAAGTGAAATGTGCAAAGAAGTCAATATTGATTAGTACAAGAGGGAACTTCAATCTTTAACTAATGAACTTCAACTCGTGTTCAGTTCAGATTAGCTGTGAAAACTAAAGTTTAAGTTGTCTTTCTGTTTTGTTTCTTCAGCATATTTGAGTTTCGACCATTTGGGACAAAAGTCAGCAATATAAATATACGTAAATATGAATATATATATCTTTTAAGGCAGGTAGAACAAAAATTTGATATAAAATATGATTTTCATTCTTAATTTAAATATAGAAAAATCCTTAGTGCATATGTTTTTATCTTGAAGTAAAGTTGGAAGCAGATACTAAAATATTTTGATTGCATTTGCAATAGCCAAGAACCTCTGCGTCAAATGTATATGACAAAAGATATGCCAAATCTGCCGAGCTATTAGCATCTGTGTCAAGTGCTCTAAAATGTGTCATTTCCATTTCCATCAGCTCTCTTATAGTTACCGAAATAAGTTTTCAAGGCTAAACAAAAAGAGACATATACAGCTATGGCTGGATATCCGAGGCAACCTCTGTCTGCCACTCAAATACACTTGCATTAAACCCATTTGAGTATACAAATTAACATCTTAATTAACTTGATTTGGTGAATGCGAATTCTGTTTGAAATTCGATGGAATCGATTTAGGCCGTAGTGCAGCGGGAAAACGAGCCGAACATCAATAAAGCAGCGGCTGAAAATTTAGCCCGAGTCCTGCAGGACGCAGATGTTTTGGATACAGGCGTCGAATGCGCGGCAATGGCTCATAACTCATCGCGTTCAGTTAACTGTTTGGTTTACCAGTGGGCGGAGGCGGCTGCCGGATTTGGTAGCTATCTAAAGTTGCCAATGCTGCCCATTTGGGGCTGTATTGTTTTTGTGGTGCTCGTTTTCGTAACGTTAATTGCAATACGATGCTCGGCGGCCCTGGGCGCCAAACTAATTGCTTTCGCGAAATATTTGAAGCGCAGAACTTTTTACTTTAAATTTATGAACATATTTAGCAATGACAGCACCTCCGTATGCCACCGAGTGTTCTATTACATAGACTGGTCATGAGCAACGGAAGCGCCATGCTTACCTACTTTATGAACGCACGACAAACGCGCCATGTCGGCAGCAAAAACCGGAAGCGGAAATGCAGAACAACTGCTTTGTCGTTCTGCTGTTGTGTTTTGTTAGCTGTCGTTGCTTGTTGTCTACTCTGAGGTTTGTTTTGCCAATTCTTTGCGACGCTCTGCTCTTTTTTACCCATGTTCACAAGGGAGTGCGCCAGCAACCCAACCCAAATTTCCTTAGCTCTGTCAGTTTTCCCATTAGTCGTGTACATAACGTTAAACTAGCGCTCAAGATTTAGTTCAGCAAACTTGAAAGTAGAGAAGAGCATGCTACAAACTTTTGCTAGTGAGTGAAAACTTTTAAATTGATTAGTAACTGCTGTGGGGTAACCCACGTTGGCTGCCGTCCCAGTCAGCCCCGCCCACTAATGAACGACTGGCTGCATTTCAATTAGCCATTCCCGTACAAAAAGCTCATAGCCCGTGTTTAATATTTATATTAATTTGCAGCAAAAGTTCAGTTGGGAATGTGGGTTCAAATGTCGCCTGTATGTCAGCTCCATTAGCGTCGGACATCCCCAACTACTCAGTCAGTGAGACATCAGCGATATTGAGATATTGACCTACTAAACATACGAACTATCCACTGAAAACTGGTATATATTATTTTTCTTGAAGGTTGAGACCTCACATATCTATCGCATGCCTTGCCTGTAGTTTTGCAGTGCTCTAACTATTGAAGTTGTGGCATTCCTTTATTGATAACTACGCAGTGGTAAACCCTGTCATAAGGGCAACTAGATGTGCGTAAGCTTAGTTCCAGATGGTTGAATTAGATACAAAGGCAAACAGGTGTCTTTTGTGTTAGTATCTGGGCATCGCTTTAGTTCTCTTTTATGTACATTTCCTTTGATAGTTCTGAGGCATTATGGCGATTCGCTGAGTCAACATATTTCCCTTGGACCACAAATGCAACAATTTGAATACATTCATTTTGCCTTTTTCATTTGAACATAATAAAATGTATAATATAAATAAACTTTACTATAATATTTTCTTTTGGGACTTTTACTTCTGTTATTAAGTATGTGACATATAGGGAAGTACTTAAGAAAGTATTTCTTAACATACAAAATGAACTGCTTGAAAAGTATCATAAGAACCAGTGGACAGGGCTTTCAATGTTTATAGAATTTGTAACTTTGCCTACTCAAACTTAAAGACCAGAAATTATATCAGTAGGCATTACTTCAGATTGAAAGTGTCATATAAACTTCATAATTAATTTATAATTATATTTACTATTACTATTGTTTATGTTACTGTTAGTCAAGATTGAATTACTATGCAGACTACATTAACTTTTTATATATTACTGAATATATTATCACCTGGAAGAGTATGCAGCAGTCTCAGGGAGCACTCACAGAACAATTCCTTATGCTCTTTTTTAAGTTTGTTAACTGAGGCGTTCCGTTTCTAAAGATGTGGCAATGAGAAATATGCCAAAACTGAAAATAAAAGAAAAGGAAGCTATCGTTGGCCACAAGCAAACATCGCATTTTATATTCAGCTTATTGGTCTGTGAGGCTGCAGGGGGCAGCGACTTGGCTTGGACTGTTCCTGCTGCCAAATACTATTTGCGTAATAAAATCTTTGGCTTTCGGGAGTGAGCGTGCCTCGGCCACAACCTCTTCAGCTATAACAAATCAAAAGTTTATCTCATAAATAAATGAATATAAAAAGCTTATGACTAGCGGGCACACTGAAGCGAGCTACTCGTTTCATTAAACGCTTGCTTCTTGTTGCAACAGCCAGTTTGGGTTGGCTCTCACTTAAAATTCACAAGATGTTATCCTAGCTGGTAGCCTTAAGACGTTGGCTGTCCAAGTTTCGGTTTAGCTACACTGGGGCCTAATTAAACTCTTTTTTAAACTGGCATTAAACTCAAGGCTGAGGGACATGTTTAAGTTTTCTTATTTAAAACGTTCTTCGATAATAGAAATTACATATTTTTTGTGGTCTTGCTTCGAGAATGAGGTCAAACTTTGGCTTAAAAATATAAATATGAAGCTTTAATATCTACTTATTGAAGTTGAAAAAGATAAGCTTCGAGTTATTGAATAAACTGTAATTCCACTTATAGTACCTTGTCCCCTTTCAGAAGAGCATTAATATTGATAAAAATTGCCTTTAATTAACCACTC